ACAGTCGAAGCTGGATTCCCACTTCTTCCCGAGAGTTGGGTATCCTTGAACAAGTATCCTCACCCTTTTCTTATTTTCTCATTTTCTTCTTTTTCTTTTTCTCAAGATCCATCAGGAGGTTCTGGAGTTTCTTGAACGACTTCCTTCGAGAATTTCCAAGTCTCCTTATAGGGATATTTTTGTTTATTTACTCCTTCTTTTTCTTATCTATGCACTTATTTAATCATTTATTTATCTATTTATTTATCTATTCATTTATTAGCTATCGTCATTATCACTGTTATATTTTACGATCATTATCATTATTATTGTTATTATGATAACAGTTATTATTACTGTTATCATTATCATTATAATTTTTGTTATCATTATTATTAGTATCATTATTATTGACCTTATCATTATCATAATTATTATTGACCCTGTTATTATTATTATTATTATTATTATTATTATTATTATTATTATTATTATTATTATTATTACTATTATTATTATTATCATTATTATTATTATTATTTTATTACTATTATTATCATCATTATCATTATTATCATTATTATAATGATTATTATCATCAAGATCATTATTATTGTTACTGTTCTTAGTATTCTTATTATTCCTATTATTATTATCAATATTAACATCATTATTATAATAATAATAACATTAATAATAATAGTAAGAACATTAATAATAATAGTAATAATAACAATAACAATAATAGTAATAATAACAATAACAATAATGATAACATTAATAATAAAACCGCAACAACAATAATAAAGATAATAATCATGATAATAACAATAGAAATAAATAATAACAGTAATAATAACAGTAATAATAATAATAATGATAATAATAATAATTGTAATTATTATTATACTAGCTCTATTATTACTACTAATAATGATGATAATGATAGTAATAATAGCAATGATAATAATGGCAACAGTGATGATAACAATGGAAATATAAATGAAATAATAATAAATAGAAAATACAAATAATAAAAATGATAATGAAAATTATAACAACAATGATAATAATAATGATGATGATAATAATAATGATAATAATAATAATAATAATAATAGTAATAATGATAATAATAATGATGATGATAATAATGATAATAATAATAATAATAATAATAATGATAATGGTAATAATAGTGATACTAAAAACAATGATAATCATACTACTACCACCACCACTACTACTACTACTAATGATGATGATGATATTAATACTACCACTAATAATAACAACATATTATGAGACGAAGGAATAAAAAATAATCGCCAAATCCAGTATCTGGATTACAAAAATCCCGTTTTAATCTCGCTCCTCCTTTCGGATTCCTTTCTCTCTTAATCTCGCTCCTCCTTTCGGATTCCTTTCTCTCTTAATCTCGCTCCTCCTTTCGGATTCCTTCGTCCCTTAATCTCGCTCCTCCTTTCGGATTCCTTTCGCTCCTCCTTTCGGATTCCTTCGTCCCTTAATCTCGCTCCTCCTTTCGGATTCCTTCGTCCCTTAATCTCGCTCCTCCTTTCGGATTCCTTTCTCTCTTAATCTTGCTCTTCCTTTCGGATTCCTTCCTCCCTTCATCTCGCTCTTCCTTTCGGATTCCTTTCTCTCTTAATCGTGCTCCTCCTTTCGGATTCCTTTCTCTCTTAATCTCGCTCCTCCTTTCGGATTCCTTCCTCCCTTAATCTCGCTCCTCCTTTCGGATTCCTTTCTCTCTTAATCTCGCTCCTCCTTTCGGATTCCTTGGTCCCTTAATCTCGCTCCTCCTTTCGGATTCCTTCGTCTCTTAATCTCGCTCCTCCTTTCGGATTCCTTTCGCTCCTCCTTTCGGATTCCTTCGTCCCTTAATCTCGCTCCTCCTTTCGGATTCCTTTCGTCCCTTAATCTCGCTCCTCCTTTCGGATTCCTTCGTCCCTTAATCTCGCTCCTCCTTTCGGATTCCTTCGTCTCTTAATCTCGCTCCTCCTTTCGGATTCCTTGTTCCCATAATCTCGCTCCCCCTTTCGGATTCCTTTCTCTCTTAATCTCGCTCCTCCTTTCGGATTCCTTCCTCCTTTAATCTCGCTCCTCCTTTCGGATTCCTTTCTCTCTTAATCTCGCTCCTCCTTTCGGATTCCTTCCTCCCTTCATCTCGCTCCTCCTTTCGGATTCCTTGGTCCCTTAATCTCGCTCCTCCTTTCGGATTCCTTCCTCCCATAATCTCGCTCCTCCTTTCGGATTCCTTGGTCCCTTAATCTCGCTCCTCCTTTCGGATTCCTTTCGCTCCTCCTTTCGGATTCCTTGGTCCCTTAATCTCGCTCCTCCTTTCGGATTCCTTCGTCCCTTAATCTCGCTCCTCCTTTCGGATTCCTTCGTCTCTTAATCTCGCCCCTCCTTTCGGATTCCTTTCGCTCCTCCTTTCGGATTCCTTCGTCCCTTAATCTCGCTCCTCCTTTCGGATTCCTTCGTCTCTTAATCTCGCTCCTCCTTTCGGATTCCTTTCGTCCCTTAATCTCGCTCCTCCTTTCGGATTCCTTCGTCTCTTAATCTCGCTCCTCCTTTCGGATTCCTTCCTCCCTTAATCTCGCTCCTCCTTTCGGATTCCTTCGTCCCTTAATCTCGCTCCTCCTTTCGGATTCCTTCCTCCCTTAATCTCGCTCCTCCTTTCGAATTCCATCCTCCCTTAATCTCGCTCCTCCTTTCGGATTCCTTCCTCCCTTAATCTCGCTCCTCCTTTCGGATTCCTTCCTCCCTTAATCTCGCTCCTCCTTTCGGATTCCTTCCTCCCTTAATCTCGCTCCTCCTTTCGAATTCCATCCTCCCTTAATCTCGCTCCTCCTTTCGGATTCCTTCCTCCCTTAATCTCGCTCCTCCTTTCGGATTCCTTCCTCCCTTAATCTCGCTCCTCCTTTCGGATTCCTTCATCTCTCCCACTGCGGCGCCCGAGGTGTTTTTGTCCGCGTCACAAAGATGGCTGTCAGGAAGTGACGTGCGGAGGGGGTGAAGCTTCAGTGAAATCTCTCTTTTTTTTGGTTTCTGTTCTTTTGTCTTTTCTCTTGTTTTTTCCCCTCCTTTCCTTTCTCTTCTTTATTTTTCTTCTTGTTTTATTTCTTTTGTTGCTTTTTGGTTATATTTTCTTTCTTTTTTTTGTATTTTCTCTTTTCTTCTCTGTTAGTTATTCTTTCTCTTATTTCTTTTATCTTCGTTTGTTCTCTAATCTTCTGTATTTCTCTTCCTTTTCTTTCTTTTGGATGCTTTTTATTTGTGTATTTATCTATTTGCTTACTTTATATGACTTTCTTTTTTTTCTTCGTTTATTCTCTAGTTTTCTAGTTTTATCCTTTCCTTTTCGTTTCGTTCCTCTCTTCTCTCTCTCTCTCTCTCTCTCTCTCTCTCTCTCTCTCTCTCTCTCTCTCTCTCTCTCTCTCTCTCTCTCTCTCTCTCTTCCCATCCATCTTTCTATTTTCTCTCTATTTTCCTTTCGCTTCCATTTTTCCCCGTTCTCGCTTCTGTTTCCTTTCCATTTTCTTTCTTTCTTTTTCTCTCTTTCTCTTGGCCATTTGCCGAGGATTAGGCTTGGATAGACTCGCTCTTCTATTTTCCTTTATTTTCTTTCTCTTTACCGTTCGAGACTATTCCTCTCCTTTATCTGTTCTCCTTTGTATATCTCGTTCTCTTTTATTCCTCTCTCTCTCTCTCTCTCACACACACACACACACGCGCACGAACACACACACACATACACACACACACACACACACACACACACACACACACACACACACACACACACACACACACACACACACACACACACATACACACACACACACACACACACAGACACACACATACACACACGCACGGACACACACACACAACAGAATGTATCGCTAGCTATCGTGGCTCCCTCTAGCAAAGTTAGCGGAGTTAGCAAAAAAGCGCTAATAACGAGGGGTCTTCGAGGGGAGATGGGGGAAGGGGGGTGGGGGAAGGGGGGTGGGGGAAGGGGGGGGGGGGGGAGGCGAATGGGTTCAGCAGATCAATTCTCTTCCCGGTAATTGTCGGGAAAAAGAGGCACGTCTTGATGAAGTTAGTGTGGGAGGAGAGAGTTGGGGAGAGTGTTGGGGGAGAGGGTTGAGGGGTGGAGGGGGTTGGGGGGAGAGGGTGGGGGAGAGGGTGGGGGGAGAGGGTGGGGGGAGAGGGTGGGGGAGAGGGTTGGGGGAGAGGGTTGAGGAGAGGGTTGAGGGGGGGAGAGAGAGGGTTGGGGGAAAGAGTTGGAGGAGAGAGTTGGGGGAGAGGGTGGGGGGAGAGGGTGGGGGGGAGAGAGTTGGGGGAGAGGGTGGGGGAGAGAGTGGGGGGAGAAGGTGGGGGGAGACGGTTGGAAGAGAGGGTGGGGGGGAGAGGGTGGGGGAGAGGGTGAGGGGGAGAGAGAGTTGGGGGAGAGGGTTGGGGGAGAGGGTGGGGGGAGAGAGTTGGGGGAAAGAGTTGGGGAGAGAGTTGGGGGAGAGGGTGGGGGGAGAGTTGGGGGAGAGTGTTGGGGGAGAGAGTTGGGGGAGAGGGTAGGGGGAGAGGGTGTGGGGGAGAGGGTGTGGGGTAGAGGCAGTGGGGGAGAGGGTAGTGGACGTAGGAGAGGAGGGGAGTGGGGGAGGAGGAGGCAGGGGAGTGGAAGCAGGGGAGTGGGGAAGAAAGCAAGGAAGTAGGGGGAGAAAACAGGGAAGTGGGTGAGAAAGCAGGGGAGTGGGGGAAATGGGGAAGCAATGGGAAGGAGGTGAAAGAGTTAAGTGGGGAGTGAGGGAGGAAACTAACGGATGAGGCGAGGAGAGAGGGAAGTGGAGAGAGATTGAGGAAGTAAAGTGAGGAAGAGGGAGAGAGAGGGAGTTAGGGAAGGAAGCAGGGGGGGGGGAGGATAGGAGGAAGCAGTGGGGAAGGAGGCAGGTGAGACAGGGGAGGGGAGGAGGGAGGAATGGCAGGGAGGGGGGGAGGTA